ACTCTTCGGTTCAGTCGTTCCCGGAGCTTAACACACTCTCTCGACGATGCACTAACCGCAATACACTAAGAGACTCCTCGGTGCACTCGACGACCCATTCGGCGCTAGACTTCGAGACACTCGCTCAATGACTGACTATCAGCTCGCTAGACGAGGCACACTCTAGCTGACTGCGGACCAGCCGGGTTTATATAGCTTTCGGCTTGTGTTCGAGAACATTCTGGGCTAAACCGATAAGAATTCGTTCCAGAAAGTTCTCCATCCATCCATGGCATATCGTCAATTTTGTCTCCAAATGTCACCAAATGGGAGATTTCTCTCCAAATGTGCAACCTTGCCTTCCTTTGCCATTTTATGGCAACCCTAAAACTGCTTTGCGGGAAAGCCATGTTACCGCGCCTGTACATTTCGTAACAATAGGTATGAAGCACAGCATTTATTGCTTTCAAGTCACTGAATTTCTTAATTAAATTTGAAAGCAAAATTTAATTTTTTAGACTTTGCCGAATGGCAACACACTGGCGAGTGAAAGATAAGAATATTTTATTTCGGGACGTGGCAACCCATTTCTTTCAAATCGGTCAGTTTGTAGAGTCATATTTGTCCACGCAGGAAATATGAAAATGTTCGATGCCCTCACCAGGATTCAAAACTCAGATCTCCTAAATGGTAGTTGGATGTTTTTCCAAGTACGCTACGAAGGCGCGTAGTAAATGAAGGAGAAAATACATTAGTAAAAATATAGACAGTGAGCTGCAGCTTTAATATGGATAGAGCATAGAAGAAGATTTAGCTAAAATCGTTGGGCGTGAGGCTGGTAAAGCGTTAAATATATATATGTGAAATTCGCTAAAAAAATTATAAAATTGAAGAAATAATGAAATGTTTATCATCCAAGGAATAATTTTTCAAAAAAATTAACGGAATCTTTGAAACAAGCGGACATTCGAATTTTGTTTGAAAATACTTCATGCACTGGCAATAACAATAATTTTAAGCCAAAAACTGATTTAAAAAAATGAAACTACAATTAGATTTAATTACAAATTGTATTCATTAAATAAGTTTTCGGAATTATAACATACAGTTTTTTGACTTTTCGAAAATTGTTTTGCATAATTGTATAGTTTTAAGTCGATAATCCACATAATTGATAAATCATTAAAGTCCCGAAAGTGATGGATCGTGGGAGTAATTATTCGTCGGTATCATGAGATAATCATTGTTTCGTTTGAAATAAGAATTTTCAAATTGTTTTAGCCTGTGTCCTTTTGCTACTACTTAACTTTTAACACGCAATAAAGAAAATAAAGACACGGAATTAATTCAAGAATTCTTTTCTATGCAACTTACAAAAAGAAAAAAAAAGTACAAAAGAAAAAGGAGTGGTTATGTCTATTTAGATTCTAAAATCGATCTAACATTGCTAAAGTAAAAAGAAAGAAAAGAATTTTGATAGAAGAAGAGGATTTCTACGACTAAAACTACAGCTTGTGCTGCCATCTCTTACAGGAAAAAGCGTTTGAAGATATATCACTCCACTAATTTATTTTTTCTAATCAAATTTTCTTATTGCCTCTAAAAATTAAAATTTCTAAAATTTTCAATTTATTTTTAGGCCTAATTATTCGTCTACCACTCTCTTTCTACCAAAAAAAAAAAAAAAAACTGACACTTCGCGACAGTGTTTGAATTTCAGCTACAAATGTCTAATTACATATTAACTAATCATCTATAGTCGCAGGTTATAAATTAAATGTAATATTTTATAGGCCTAGCAAAGTTTTAATCTTCGCATTCACTTCATTGTCTGTTCAAATTAGAGGGAAGAATACTAATTGTTAGTTTTAATTACTTATCTCTGCCATAAATTTGCATACTTTGTAATGAGCTGAGAGGGGAAAAGTAAGCAAAGGCACAGATAAGTTATAACAAAAACTGGTTTAAAATGTATAGGTATATTTCGACCGCCTCATCCGCAACCGTAAGCGCAAACACGTATGCTCCATTCGGACCGAATTATTCTCAAAATAGGGTGGAAGGATGGGGACTTTCTTTCCCTCCAGCATAGCTGTTTCCGGAGAAGAGAAGGCCTTTCACATCGCAGCAAGTAATACCCTCCCTTTTAGAAGAGTCTCTGTGTTTTGGCAGAATGCCAACCAGGGTTGCGCTTGAGACGGTCGAACCATAACATTCATGATATTTTCCTAACAATAAAATATAGTTTTGCGGTACTAATAAACGTACGATTCCCCCACATTTCAAAAACTCGGGTATGAATTTAGTTGCTCTCTGTCGTTTCACGATTTCAACATATATAAAGCGAGTACGAAACAAATACCCTTAAAACATTACCCAAGAATTTTAAAAACACTTAGAAGATATTTTCAGAAAGTTTCTTCAAGTAATCTAAATCAAGAGCCGGGAATTAGCGATAGGAATAGTGAACGAAATATCAGTGTACTTCTTCATTTATTGTAAAAAATAATCAAAACACTTACCAAAGGAATCATCTTAAAACCTGCCGCAAGCAGAGCAAAATGAGCCTTTTGGGGAAATAAATGTAAATAATATGATGTTTCTTTTATATATATATACACACATATATATAGCCTTAACTAGAAAGCAGAACACATTATTTCAGGAAGTTTTATCGACTACCGAAACGCTCTCCCAAACATACAAGTAATTAAGTTTAAAAAATACCCTGAGCGTTATTGCGTGCGTTGGTGCATTAAATTAAAAAGAATTCTTATTAAATTTAAGGTAGATTAACAAATAAAGAGGTAATCGACTTTTTTGTTCTTTTGCCAATAGAAGGAAGTTTGTAACAAGTTTCCGTTAGGAAACTCTAAACTGTAATAAGTTTCTATAATTACAATGCTTTGAATGCATAAATATGTCTTACGTAAATAATAGGGAGTGCTTCAAACAAGTAAATAATGGCGCCAATAATGAAAAGACTTTTAAATACTTCTTAGTAAGTACAGGGAAGAAGATCTTTTTCATGTATTGAAATATATGAACATTTCTTTAATATTATTTATGAGCAATATAATGGTCAATCAGTGTGTTTAAAACTTTCCTGCATTAAAACTTCTGTTATAAAACGTAGGTCTTGTGTGCTTTGGCATAATCATTACTTATCTTTCTCTCAGTACGATATCTTCTTTTCACATTTTAAAGGGTATACATATAGTTCCTTCGGAAGGAAACTTCTTATCTATCTAACTATTTTTAACATCATTTCAAAATTAAATTAAAACTAATTTTTAATTAACTTAGACATAGTACAGTTTTCAACTTTTTAACTACTGTTAAATTATTTTAATGTTAAGATATTTTTATAAGACTTAAAATAAAAGTATTTTATAAAGTGTACATGCATACATATGTATATTTATTGATTTTGCATGCAACTTCACTTAACATGTAAAATTTGCTTTATCCGAGTATCTTATTTGCAAATTGTTTTCTGATTAGCTGTACAATTTTATCAGGAGTACCTACAACAGCAAATGTTTATCCTTAGTTCCAAACCATATTTGTGATCATGCTTTAAGTAAATATCAGGTAATTTTTGCCTTAGAAAATTTTTCGTCAAAGCGTCTTTAATATTCTCTAGTTCAAATTTAAAAACATTTTTAGTACACTATAAAAAAACCGTTAAATTCTGAACTCTTACGTTTCTTTTAATAAAACTAGTTTTATTTTATAATATTTGTGAAAATTATTTTGTCACATACTTGGTCAGTCTAGAGGTTTAGTAAATAAGCAGGTAGATTTTATGTCAAACTGCATAGGTTAAAATGAGAAGTAAGATCATAATCAGCATGATTCATAACCCAAAGTCTGAATGTTGTCACCGCTGCTGCTAGTCTAGAGAGAGAACTACTGATTAGAACAAACATCTAATCATACTGTTCTATTTTACTATCTGTTTATTACAGCTAGACAGGTCCGTCGACAGGACGTGTGCAACCAAGGCGACCGCACCGGGTGGCGGAATACAGGGCGGCAAAATTTTTAATTTAGAAAGGAACAGGGCGGCAGAATTTTGGATTTGCGGAGTTTGCACTGAGCGGCAAAAAGTCTAGTGCAGGCTCTGCAGCTAGAATACATTGTAATAAATCTGTGAGAAAAAAGATATCTTTATCTGAATTTTTTATAGCAACTATTAATGTTATTTCTTTCACATTTTGCCACAAATTTAAGGCTGCGTTATGTTTACATCTTATTGTGAACTTAAAAATAAGCATTAAAAGAATTTGCTCGATAATTTTCGGAAGATTCTGCTTATTTAAAACCAAAAAGAGCACTTTGGTTTTTAGCCCAAAGGGCTGAAAAACTAAAAGTCTTGAAACACGATTTTGTGTTGTTTCAGTTGCCTTGAAACACGATTCTGTGTCTTGAAACACGATTCTGTGTTGTTTCAGTTTTCGAGACTGCTGCTATTCGATAAGATATAAGATGTTTATGTTTCAAATTCAGTCTGCCTGTTATTGATTATCAGGCTAAGATAGCAAGAGATGCAGTTCTGGAGAATATTATTTTTTCACGTTTTTATGTTATTGATTTAAATAAAGATGCATTTAATGTATGATATAGCTATTTAAAAACGTTAAACTTTATAGAATTAAATGATATATTTTTTCACTTCTTAAATATACAGAAAGTGTATAACGCTCCATGTTAGTCTAAACGTATATTCATCTAGCAGTCTACAAAAGGTTTCACTATCCACATGAGTCATCTGTATAGAAAAACTCTACTGGTAAACCATATTAAACTTTAAAAAAGCCTTTTTTCAAAACCTGAACACACTTTCAGGTTTTTTTTATAATTTTTATTTATAATATTCACTTACGATATCTATTTATTAGTTAAAATAAGAACTTTTGGAAAGAAATGTTTTACAAACGTAGACGTAAGTAACTGCAGTTATACCTACGAAAATGAAACGATTTAATTTACAAAGAACTCACAAATGAAGTTTCAGATTTTCATTAAAAACCTTCTTTATTTCTCAGCATAAATTAACAAATTTCATAATAATAAAGTTGCAACACAGTAAGAAGACAAAATAGGACATTCTAATTTTATAAGAAAGTCTTCAAATCTGTCACCTTACTTCCAAATTACACACAGTTTTACATGAAAAGTTCAAAATAAAAAGCAAACCTTTCTATTGCTTTCGTTAGCATATTGAATTGTGCAACAAATTGTCTAAATAACTGCAATTTGAAGCTATTTTTGAAAGTAAATCACAGCTGTTCTGAATTCGAAAGTCTGGCATTTTTACCAATCGATTCCATAATCGTAATTTCTGTGACCGTAATAACCTATACCATGCTGATAGCTTCCATAATAATAAGGATTATACGCATAATATGGTTTATAGTAACCATAATATGGCCTGTACATTGAATTGTAGGGTCTGTAACCATAACCGTAGCCTCCACCGTAGATGCTGCCATATCCGTAATTTGGTTTGTAGTCATACGTACTTGCAGATACGTAATAAGGCTTATAACCGTAGTAAGGCTTGAAAGAATTCAGATAAACTGGCTTTGAAGTAGTGTAGTAAGGCTTGTAGTAGTTGTTGCTTGTTAAACCGTAACCGTAACCATAGGAATTGTCAGCTGTTGTTCCGATAAAAGTGGCCCATGCAGTGAAGGCTATACTCAGGAGGTAAAAGACCTATAAAAAATTTCATGTAGCTATATCAGTTATTTTTACTCATAAAATCATTTTACTTGCAAACATATCCCTAGATATTTAGATGTATATCATTTTCCTAAGTTATTATTATTCCTAAATTATTATTGCTATTATTATTCCCATTATTAATATTCCTAATACTATTTAGTTGTTAATGATAAAAAGTTAACTGTATTCTTCTCTCACATGGCAAATTTTTTCTTCCTTTTTTGTTGACACCTGAAGAAAGGGCTTATTGTTTTCATTTATTGGTTTTTGTTTTGTGCAGATGAACGTCAGAGGTTGTGGACGGTCGACGAGATGTAAGATCTTTCTTTTATCGTCCATATTTGAAGTACTAGCTCATCAGCATAAGAAAGCGGATCCAATTAATGCAAATGTAACAATTAATTATAAAATTTTACAACTGATATTTTATATCATCAGTGTAATAAATCAAGTAGATTTCTTAAGTTAAAAATCGTGTCAACTGCAAAATTTCTGATTCAGAGTTTTGCATACAGTATCATCAGCACCTAAAATTAAATCTCATACTAATGAAAAACATTTGGGAGAGTCTAATCTTCTATACCTATATTTTTCTTTAAAGATGTTCATTTAAGAGAAAATCTTCCTTTTAAAGGGTTATAAAGTATTTTCTCTCTTCCTTCCATATGCTTTCGTGGCATACTCGACGCGTTCAAGACCCGGCTATTGCACTGCACATTTTTCATGTCTCCTATTTCAAAATAACCTAATGACTCTACAAGGTAATAAAATGCCCCCAGCGGTCGAGCGGCAAACTCGCTGAACATTGGTAGTTTCGGACCTGGGATCGATTCGAGGGGAACGGGCTGGCTGCATGGGCGTTTTCGTGGTTTTCCTCATGTGTTACGTGCATACGAACTAATTCCCCTCAGAAAATCCTCCATGAAAGCATCCCTCCATGTAGACAGATAGCCCTAGTGTGCTTTGCCATAATCACTGAACCGAAACCTACAAGGTAATGTATAATAACATTATTTTCCTGTTTATTCCATTTTATACAAAAATGCAGGAACAAGCACTAGAGCTTTCAAAATTGAACTTCTTCCTTTGATTGAATTCTATAATTTTAAACGGAAATTAAATGTTATCAGCAGGTAGTACTCGAAATTACTGTTACTTTTTTGATGGAAAAACTCCCCTTTGAGTTGTGTTTGTTATTTCAGTTATATTTATTACAATAGTATTGGATTTGCACGTCTATTTACATTCCCCCTCTCAAATAAACCGGCTGCATCTTCATTGCTTCTTTCCTAAAACCAACAATAATTATGTTCGTTAAATTATTTTATTTTAAAAAAATTTATTTTTCACAGGAGAAAGTTTAAAAACTTTCCGCGTATTTTGTAGTTTTATTTATCTAGCTTTATCTAGCTACCCATGTTCATGCCTATCATCTATCTATCTGTATCTGTATCTAGACGTGTAATCCGTATCTTTAAATGTGGTCATCATCATATCCATAAAGTTCCCCATGCTGACATTTTTTTCTGCAATCGTTGGTCGTAGACACATATTTCCAGTTCCAAAAATGTTTTAAATTACACATATATTCATATTTTGATTTGAAATTATTAAATTTAAAATATCAATGTAAAAATGGGAAAGTTAACTTTTAACACTCCAGATCCCCATAGTGTATTTACGAAAAATTTATATTCCTTGTAAAAAATGAAGCACAAAATGTATAAATCCCATACGCTACGAACTGACCGAGATATTTAATTTTAAAATTTGCTATCCTATTCAGGCGTCGTACGTAAGCTGAAAAGGTGAATAAAATTGCTGAATTAGACTATTCAGAAATAAGACTATGTCTGTGAATAAGACTGAATAGTCTTATTCTGTTTTAGTTAAAATTTATTTTAATAGTCTTATTCAGTCTTAGTTAATATTTATTAGCGAAGGGAAAAACGTTAGACGCGTCTGTTTAAGAAAAGGTAAGGTATTTTTAGACATTAAAAAATATATAAATATTATGAATAATAAGTGACGTAATAAAGTTTAAATATGGTTAGCTAATATATCTATATCTATATACACATACATATAAATTGCTAGCAGTTCATTGATTCTTCTTAATAATATTACTCAAATACCGATGATATAAAATGTGTCAAATCGAATCTGAAATATTTAAATATCTATTAAAATTGTGGTCTATTTAAAATGAAGTCTTCGGACAAAAGTTGAGAACAACGTTTTTCTTATTATTATTCTTATTGAGCTTAATGTGTAATACCGTCACTTCTTTAAGTGATTAGAATCGTATTGAAATGTATTGAAAGATGCCGTTTCAAAGTGTCTTAAAAATAAAAATGTCTTTTTAGATATTATACATTTTGTTTAGATATTATTTGTTTATATATTATATATAAAAATATTTTGCTTGTTTTATTTGTTGTTTTACTTGTTTTGAAAAAATACTTTGTTTTAAAAATGTTTTGTGCATGCAACAGAAATAAAAATGTTTTGCTTGTTTGCTTGCTGTTGTTTGCTCTTCAAAGTATACTATAAATAAAAATATTTTGCTTAGAAATGAAATTGTTTTGCTTATTAAATGGTTTAGCGAGATGATTGCAGTAATTGTCTATATGTTGAAAACAAAATGCGATTCCCTACATTAAGAAAGTGGAAAGGGCTAAAAATGCAATTGAGACTTTAAAAGAAATCGTAAATTATATTAAATAAAAATTTATAAATAAAAGCTTAAACACTTTTTCGGGAGGGGAAGGATCCGTCGTTATGCTCAAATAAATTTTTTCCCTATATTTTCAACCTTAAATCAGTATATTTCCCACATCTGTCTCGAAACATTTTCTGTCTTTGAAACATAGCTATCTCGAATTTCTAATGCCAAACTGCTGAATTTATATCCTCCCCCCCCCCTTTTTTTTTTTTTTTTTTTTTTTTTTTTTTTTTTTTTTTGGAAACACTCAGTAATTCCCCATTGTCCCTCAAATCCTTAGAATCCCATGTCGTAGCTATTACTCATATCTGTGTATTAAAAAAAGAAAGATATCCAAAGCCTACAGCAACGAGCCTCGTGGATAACTTTATGCAAACCTTCAAACTCTAACTTATTTAACGAATAATCATACAGAAATATGTCAAAATTTCTTGTTTTTCTTTGTCCTGAATATCAGCAATCTTTAATAAGTCAAGGAGTTCAATAGATCTTCTTGTACGACAGTTAAAAAGAAAACTAAATGTGCTTCTAATAGAATGAAAAGTTGAATTTTCGAAATTTTTAGACAAAAATGTTATGTTAAAAAAATACAAACCATGTAAAGAACCTAAGATAACAACATGAAAAGGTAAAGAAAAATCCAAAAATTAGAATCCAAGAGTGTGCGCGAAAGTAGTTTTAGCAATGCCCACAATCAAAATGAATCAATGTGATGGCATTGATCCCCTAATTGGAACGTTTCTGTTATGTACCTTAAACTAAAGAACTATATTTTATTTTTTATCAAGTTTGTATTTTTAGATTAAAAGATTAAAATTAAGTTATACATTGATGACATTTCGTATTTTATTAAAGCTTATTCTATATCATAAAATTTACTCTAATCCATGTCGTAGCTATTACTCAGTCGTAGTATTAGAGTCGTAGCTCTAAAAGTTATCCGGAATTAAAGCTTCCTTATCTGGAAAACCTTAATCTCAGTTTCCGAACCCCCTTTCCTCACAAAATTGGAGATATCGAGGTTCGAATGTAAATACATAAATATTTATAAGAATAAATTGAGTTTAATTAAAAAATTAAATTTAAATACATATTTAATTAAATATTCTTTGCGCCATTGCTGCAAGGAATGAAATTTAAATTTAAACAAATTTAAATTCTTAACAAATACGTATAAAAGTAAAAAAGTAAAAAAGCAAATTTAAATTCTAAAAAAAGGAAAAAAGCCGAAATAATTTAAAATAATTTAAAAATATGCAAACATGTAAAAGATTTAATTCTCGAACTAATCTACAATATCATTTAAATTCAGAAGCATAAGCAAATCAAGTGCAAAATCTATCCATGAAAATAAATCTACTAATTTAATAAATTAAAATTAAATTAAACAATTTTTTTAAAAAATGCATATGTGAATGATCGTAGAGTAGGCAGGAGACAGACTAATCAAGGGGAAGTTGCCTCCAAACCTAACTCTCCAATCATTCAATTCGTGTTTCGTCATTCATGCAGGCAAGGGTAAAAGTCAAAACCAAAAGTAATTCCAATAAAGTGGTATCCTTAGAAATTTACATTTAAGTATTAACATTTAAGAATTAAAGTTTAAAAAGGAAAATACTAATTAAGTCTTTTGAGAAACAAGCAAGTAAAGTCAAGAATTAAACTTTTTCTTAAAAAATTAAATTTTTTAAAATTAATTTTTTATAAAATAATAAAAAAATCTAGAAACCAATGTATTTTAGAAATTCTTGTCTACAGAAACTTCCCCTACACGAATATGCATATCAATAAAAAGAAACTATAAAAGAACTATACATAATCCATATAAACCAATAAGAAATAAGAAACAAAAGAAACAAAAAGAACTAATTCACAATTTTTAAAATAAAATATATATTTAAAAATATAATTTCATATTTAGAAAATACTTAGATACTACATAAAAAATTTTAAAAAATACTTAAAGCAAGTAAATAGTAAGTTTTAATTCTAACTTACCTACTATATGAGTGTTGGGGTCTGCAAAAGTGTTGTGAAAAAGAGAAGTAAGTGATTCAAATTATATAGATGGCGCTTATGTAGGTAAAGTTGAGTGTAAAGCTGCTATCTTTGTTATAGTAAAAAATTTTTGTAAATAAATATTAATATTAATTAAATTAAAAATCCTAATACATTTTTTTCACATACCACTTCACTTTAATTTCCTTCAAGCAAACATACATCTCTTGATTAGCTCAGTTACTTAACTCCCTAAATAATTGATATT